ACGGCTGGCGGGAAAAACTTTACTGTCCTGACGTCAATGTAAGTTAACAGAAAAGGCATTGAAATCAGGCCACTTTTCTCACTGGAGATGGCATTAAATACCGTGGCTCACGAAAATGGATTTACAATTCCAAGAAACAAATCAGATTGCAAAAAGTGAAAAATACGAAACATTTTGTGTCTCCAAGCTTCTAATTTGGCGCCAAAAAATGGGTCGTCGGCGTCCGACATGGCAACTCGCTCGTAGTTCGTCTAGTGTCGTCAGGTAGGATAATAGTTGTATTATTTTGAACAAAATATGCTGTTCCTCGTCAAATTAAACCTGGAATTCTTAAGTTAACTATTAGAAGAGGCCAAAGCAGCTTTGCTAATGTCTTTATTTTTGTTAGCTGCGAAGAAAAAGGCTATTATCGTGTCGTTTCGGTAGGCAGCTCAGTTTTGGTTGGCGCTCGTACTACGGGCGCAGCCGCCGTATGCAAAGTGACTAGGAATAATTCTGCTCCTCCCTGGATGGGATACTATGATCGCAGGGTTACACATCACCCATCCCAGATATTAGCTCACCATTCCCAAATTAAACCTTTTGCCATGGTTTAATAACAACTTTCAGGTGTTTTAACCTAGCCCTGGTATTATCATTGTTTTCCTATTTTAGTTTGATCTCGTCTGCGATAAGGCAATCTACGTGTCTATAGCGTCGTCCATGATTTTTCTGGGCTTCCTACTCGGTGGAATAAGTGTTGGTCCTTTTGCAGACAAGCTTGGCAGACGACATACAATCTATGTGTATGGTTTCATAATCGGTGTCTTTAGCCTTCTCACCGCTTTCCCTCATGCCTATTGGTTGTTTGCTGTCTTCCGTTTCCTCATCGGATTTGGTGTTGGTAAGTTACTGAATCATGCAAAATGAATATCGGATCGTCCTGACTTAATCATAAGTTGCGGACCAAAGGGAAAAAATGTTAAAATAGTTTTGCTGTTAAACGCACTGTGTTTAATGTCTTTATTTTGTGTCTCCTCTTCCTGGTGGCTTATCCCCGTTTTCTGCTCCTCACTTCACCTGGCTCCTGTTCCTCTTCCTCTTCTTGTTTCTCCTCTTCTGCCTCCTCTTCCTCCTCCTCCTCCTCCTCCTCCTCTTCTTCTTCTTCTTCTTCTTCTTCTTTTTCTACTTGCTCTTGTTATTTTTATTGTTGTTGTTCTTCTTCTTCTTCTTCTCCTTCTTCTTCTTCTTCTTCTTCTTCTTCTTCTTCTTCTTCTTCTCCTTATCATCATCATCATCATCATCATCATCATTATTATTTCGTTTTCGTTTTTGTTTTCCCCTACTACTAATCATGAGAGCATCACTATCCCACTGAGTCTCGGCATGTTTGCAGGTGGTGCTAGCATTGGGATTTACGTGTTAGTGACGGAAATGGTTGGTGTTCGTCATCGTAGTATGATTGGCGTGTCATTGTGGTACTGCTGGACCTTATCCCTGCTGTTCCTGGACCTTCTTGCATACCTTATTCGTGACTGGCGAACATTGGCCATCGTGACTGGAGTTCCAGGCATTCCTATTGTTCTCGGATGGTTGTAAGTGTTCCCGTTACTTCTTCATTTACTCACTGTAGACGCGCTTGCAAGTAAATCCAATGTTTATTTGCTTTGCAAGATTTTTCTTCTGAACCGTTCGTTTTAACGTGCTACGATGTGTAACCGTTTCCTGAACGATCTTTATATAGATATACAAATGGATAAAACAGTGAGTGAATTTTTTCACTTATCCTAAGAGTGCTTTATACCAAAAAATATATGCCGTGCAAAATGTAAAGATCTGTCTTTATATCTTTATATAGATATATAAATATATCTGGGGACATCCTATTACAATCTTTTAAAATACGGCTGTTAGATGTAAAGGAATTTGCGACCAGACGCATCTTTCAACGGGTGCGATATGTTTCGTTTAATTAACTGAAAACAAAACTCATCCGAGATCCACCATTTAAAATTTTACCCTTCGATTTCAAATTGCGGCTTCACTGGAGAATTGAAGGATTGGATTTAATTTGAATGGATTTAAACTTGAGGAGTAATGGTGAATCTTAAACATCTTTTTATAACGTGCTAGCATCACCAGAGAATCCCCTCGCTGGCTGGTATTACAAGGAAAGCTAAAAGAGGCTGGGGTAATTCTCAACCGAATCGCCGAAGTAAACGGCAAGGAAATGCCGGAAGAGAAACTTCAATACGAACCAGAAAAACAGGTTAGAATGGGAGATTTGCGTGACCTATTCTCGTCCAAAAAGATGGCCCACAAGTCTTTGCTGTCATGGTATCTTTGGTATGTACGCATCAATTTGGAATATTCAGTTATTGTTAATGTAGTTACTATTGCTCAAACGTTGTCATTTTTGTTACTTCCAAAGTTGAGACTTTTATAAACTTTTTTTTTGTAAGATTTGGCTACATTGTAAAGTGATCTTGAATGGGTGAAGAATTCACTGATTAATTAAGTTCAGTTCTTCACTGTTTTCTGCCCGCAGAAGAAGTGCTTCTTTCAAGTTAGGGATATATGAGTGCAAGTTTGGGAAAGTAGTGAAATCCTGTGAAACCTTGAGCCACAGGCGATTGTTTATACCGACGCCTGCCACTAAACATTCAGAGATTATTTCTTCAACTCGATAAAAAGTGTGTCCTGTTTCCTTTACAAAATACTGAGTGAAAAAAATCACTCGCTTATGTCTATTATGAAGTTTTCTCTCCTTGTCCTGTTTTAGGTAAGTCCCTTGTATCCACTGAGTTATAAACTTAAGTTACACCTTCTAGCTCGCTTACTTGCAATGGTCACTGCATTTTAAGGCGTCGGCCCGTATTGATTTGTCTTTGTACATTACATAGATGCTACTCGGGTATCATCCTATCGCGTTTTTTATTCTTAGACGAAGTGAGATGACAAGGATTCACTGTTCACTTGGGTCTGGTCGTAGAATAAGTGGTTGTTAACGTTGCTTTTTTGTCTTTTAAGGTTCGTATCTGGGATGGTTTATTACGGTGTATACCTCAGCACTCCTAATGTTGGTGGAAACCTGTACCTGAACTTTTTCCTGACAAGTTTTATTGAAGTGTTTTGCCTTCCATTTATCGTGTGGTCGTCAAACAGGTACTCAGCATTTTGCTTCAGATATGGGGGAACAAATAGCAGCTCGAATTCCCCACCTCCGAAAGGTTAAGCGTGTGAATTTTGTCATGCACCAGAATGAGCCCAGTAGCTGGATAGCCGTAATCTTCATAGTGCTTTGACGTAATTATATGGACTTCTGCTTAAAACCAACAGTAAGCTGAAACATTTCTTAGGCATTATTTTTAACTGTCGAAGCCGCTTACAAAACTACGATCGCAGATCTCACATGCAACCATCTTTAAATCTTTGTTCCGTGGTTCAAATAGGTGATTTTTTCATGTTTTCACTTGAATATAATTATAACAATATAAAAGAAATAATCATAATAATTTTTATAACCTTTATTTAATCTTCGACGGTTTCACACCACGAGACAGTAGATGTGGGTTTAATTTTGAATTTCAGGTTTGGTCGGAAAAAAGTCATCGTGGCAAGTTTGATCCTCGCGGCGATTTCTTCTATTGGAGCGGTACTGTTCACCACACAAGACAATTCCAACAAAGGTTTGTTAAGCATTAAATGAATTTGGTTAATCTGCATCTTAAAATAACCCGACACAAGCACTATTATGATCCGTCCCGCCTGTAGAGTCTCGGTGGATACAATATTAACTAGTACTTTAGTATACTTGAGTCGACCGTTACACTTAAGTTTCCACACGCTCCGCGCATGTATTATATCTGCTTATATAAATAGCGAAAACAATTCCTATTACGTGACTGATTCCTTACACGTTCCACGCATGCGGAATTAATCCCGACACTATACTGCCAGTTTACCCTATTTGAATAACATTGAAAATACTTTAGCAATATATAAACACAAAAATAGCGTTAGCATAGAACTGATG